TTACAATTTGCCATCACTTATAAAATAAACTAAAATAGCAAGTTACACGTGTTGAATACTGGAAAGTAGGTTGCCCCTAATCACGTTACAACAGAGGGTTAAAAATGTCAAGCGAATCTACGTTCCGGTATAAAATGCAAAATGCAATTCCCCGTAATATAATTTACCAATTTGGAGTCCTCTATAGAGTTCACGTTTATTTTACGCTATCCGTCCCCCGAGGCTTCTTCTGCGTAAATTTCGCTAAAAATATCTATAAACGGTTTATTCTAAACAATAAATATCATTCAAATTCCAAATTCATGTATCCATTTAAACAATGGGTAAATCCAGAACATGGTATATCTATGTACCACATTCAAACCCATTTAACTGTTTAAACGTGATTAAGTAATAAATCTAAACATACAAGCACTTCTAAAAACGTATTAAAGGAATATAACAAACATCAAATAACTTAAACTTTGATTGTGTGGAAATTATAATTATACCAACTGCTGAGTAAATAAATACAAAAAAGTCAGTCGAGTGAGAGTGGGACTTGCGTAACAAGGATTCCGTACAAAATCATCAGGTAATTTTTTTTTGTAATATATCTGTACTATGTACAAATTTACGGTATTCGGATTATTTTTCTTTACTTGTGCTACATGAAATTGCTTCTTGGCAAATTTCATGATTTTAGGTCAACCTATAGGTTTTAATTCCCTTTGCAAATGAAACATAAACAGCCAAATCTTTTGATTGCGTCTATTTAGAAGCTTGTTTGTTTTCACTGCTTTAAGATATTGCAAACCTGAGTATATACTTACTGATTTCAACTTGATACCTCCACCCGTTTCTAAGAAAAAGGGTCTTGACAGACGGATAGACGGACTACGAAGTGATCCTATAAGGGTTCCGTTTTTCCTTTGGAAGTACGGAACCCTAAAAATATTAATCTAATAATAAGAAATATAAAACTTGTAGCTTAAATAGGAAAATCATTAGTATGTTACCTAATAAACGCGAAATATCTAATTTTACTGCAAGATCTAATCGTTCAACGTCGCACTTAAAAAAATAATATAGAGTTAAAAAAGAAAAAAATATACTTTAGTTAGTTTAGTTTAGGAAAATAACAAAAATTATATTTTCATAAGTGACAAATAAATTATCAAAATAGCTACAGAATGTACACTTCCAATTGAAGTCACATGAAGTGATTAATATTTATAAATGTAATGTTATTACGAAATTTTCTTCACTATAGTCGATCATCGCCATATGTATAAATATAATTAAATATTTAAAAATACCCTATAATATTATATATATTAATATTGGTGCACAAAAGTTTTCAAGGACGATGAAGTTGAATATGCTATTTAAAAATCTAAAAATTCAAAATGATATCCCAAAAATGAGCGCCTTTATAATTTACCGTAGCAATTGTACTACGGTCAGATCGTCACTAGAATATAATAGAAAATCAAAATACATAAGTTACTAGCTGGATCCTGCGGCTTTGTTCGCATTTATCTTTATTATCCTATACTTTAAGATAAGATATAACCTATGTGTATACCAAATTTCATTCAAATCCGCTCAATATTTTTTTTGCATAAAAAAATAACAAATATCCATCCATCCTCACAAACTTTCGCACTTATAATAGTGATAGAATTATTCAATTATCCGTCAACGATAACATCATGTTATGCACGTGATTTTGGAAGACTAAAAGTGTAATCATAAAATTTTAGACATTTTGCTTTACTATTATATCGTGACAGTAAAATGTTGAGCCAAGCTCATGTTGATCTAAGCCCTGCTACATAAATTACAATAGCGCCTAATAATACATGCTGTTCACCAGCTGTATCAGTTCGTACGACACAACATCATTAAATAGGTACATTTGCAGGTAAATATGATCCTCATGAAATTTTACAGGAAGATGTAGGAGGAAAATTCTCGGAAATCAAGTTATCTATAAAAGCAGTACCTACCCAGTTTTTTACTGAACTTTTCAATACGTTAACGCATAATAAACAATCTTTTTTTTTCATATAAATACATACAATAAAAATACATACAAATGACGGAACGATCATGAATCATCAATAGATCTGCTTAAATGCAATCAAGAGATTCCATAAATCTTGATGAGATTTTGATTACATATAATTTTTGCGATATACAAGATTCCAGAATGTTATAAAATAGGGAAATTAAATGAAATCAAGAAGATCTCATTGCTTCTTAAAAATGGTACCCTTTATTATAATCTATGGTATAAAATAAATTTATTTTCTTATCTTGTGATATACATATCTTATACAAGCGACATTATTTATTTATTTATTCTTTATTGTACACAAAAATTACATAGTTATAGTCTATATTAAATGAAGATGTACAACAGTCGAGCTTACTCTGTAGGAGTTCTCTTTCAGCAAACCTTGAGTGAAAAGGAGCATTAATTACCAGCGAACAATGTACCCGCTAGTTATTTTTACTTGATTATATTTTAAAATTTTATTATATTCATTATCAAATTCGTTTATTTATCTTATCGTCTATTAATAGTCACTAAAAATAAAATTCTACGTAATTTGTTATCGCTCTGCGAAACTCTGTGACAATACAGTGAAACAAGTCCAGTTGTGAACTTACAACTACTTCAGTTAGCAGACGTAGCACCTTTGTGAGTGGTGCCTGATCAGCATGCAATGTCCTGATGCATGGTAGGGGAAATATTCCACGATTACGCTTACTAAGTTCTGGAACAGTCATGCTCAAAAGGCCCAAGATAGATGCACTGTACCTTATTCCCCTAGTTATACTAATGCAGTACACTAGCAGAAAGATATGTCACCTCACTTCTAGGAAATAATATCTCATCATACCTTACAAGAATGTGCTCGTATATATTATATATATTAAGATAATCTACGTGATACCCATATTGTTTACGGTACAGTCATCTAACATTTTTTTTTTGTAATGTTTCTATCATCTGTGTATATTTGATTTCATGTGTGATTTCATTCCAGATGATAGCGTCATTATCTTATGTATTATGTTACAATATAACCTAGCCAAATTTTATTCGAATTCTTTTAGCCAATAAAACGTGATTAATTAACAAACACCCAAATAATTTTACTAACTTTTACAATAATAATATTAGTAGTATTAACAACGTCATAGGAATAGCCATCACAGAATGTAATAAAACGTTCCTGCAAAATAATAATGAAAACATATACCTCCTTATATTGCGGTCGGGTTTTGTTTTATATTTATTTATATATACGTACTAAGGGCCTAATGAATGTAATTACATATATTAAGAGCAAAAGCTTGAGGGTGAACTCACCCACGCACATTTTTTCCGGAACTTGCGAGATCCCAATTTTTTTCAAAGGATGATTAATTATACCTCCTAAATTTTTATAAGAACAACATTAAATTTTTTTAATAATTAACAACAATATTGTACTATATTTACTGACTCGAAATGTGCGGGTACCATGTTAATAACTCACAATATATTAAATGGTCTTCGATTCTGTCCAACTCGGGAACTTTACATATCAAATTAACACTCCAGGGATGATAACCACTGTTAACAAACTTAATTAATCCGGAAGATGAGAATAGGCTTACCTATTGTCACGTTGAATTCGAATATACTCAGCGAAATGTGGGGCACAGCTCCATAATTAATCGAATAAAGTAGTAAGTAGATATCTATATAAACTTAGACATCCTTATTTTATATATACTTGCATATCTATGTGTAAAAGCTATATCTAATAGATAAGTTAGGAAAATGAAATTATATATCTAATATCGACGCAATACTAAAATCAAATATTGTTTAATATTTAATTTCGACAGTAAATGAAATTAAACGGTTAGTATATGTATCCTTTTCCTTGAATGACTAACTAGAGCTACTTATAAAACTATATTTATATATGTAATTGCCTATTAAATATGATTTACAAAATTTCAGATGTGCAGAATAAAAAGTACCGAGAAGCTTTTCATAAAGAAAAAAATAGTAAACTCTTTTAAATAGAGAAATAAGTAACTTAAACCATTCCAAAAGAAAAATCTATCTTAAAAAAAATTAATGTAGTTTCTATTTTATTAAAAAGAATCGTGAAAATCGATGTACATTACTAGAGATATCACGTAATACAATACAAAAATAAACAAGCAAGTAAAATTATATACAAATTAAAAAGGTCCTTTTTCAAATTGCTATAATTTTCCTAAAACAAAATTTACTGAAAGCATATCACCAAAAGCAATTTGACTCATAATACAACCTCTTCTCTTCATTTAAAAGTTCCCTCTTGACGGTGCAACTACGAGTAATTCATGCATTCTTCCAGCCAGCTCTTTTCCAAGTCATAAATTTGACCTTCCTATTCGGCATAACAGCTAGCGTTTCCTTTATCTGTCCCATGTAATTATTTCTCGATCTTTCCTTCCTCTTTAGCCCTCTCTTTTTCATTCTAGTATACTCTTTAAAAAAGATCGCCATGTTGTATAGGCTGATCCAGAATTATGCCTCTTCTATTCTCTGTTATTTTTATTAAGATTCTTTTCTCTTTCACCCTTTTCTGGACTTCTTCGTTCTTCCTCGTTCCTCGTTTGTACTTTTTCTCTGTCTAGCTTATCCTTTCCATTCTCCTCCGTGTCCACACTTTAAATGCCTTGCCAATGCCATGCCAAGCATCTTTCTTTCCTTTTGCGTCATTATCCATGTTTCACGTCCATATAACGCTATGCACCAAATGTATGTTTTTATAAATTTTTATGGATTATTTTTTAATCCCCTAAATTATTGATAAATAAATCTTTACTTGTTAAGCGCGCTCCATTTTAAATCTGAACAATATTATCTATGCTTGAGGTGAGATATGATACAATCAAGTGAAAACCCATCTTGAAATAAAAAATATATATGATAAAGAGATTATAATATTTTAGATACTCACGGATAGCGGGAACGGCGCCGGGCGATGCGACAGTGGCATGAATGGAGGCATGCGAGGTTCAGCAGCCTGAGGCGGAGGGGGGACACGTTCTGATTGTGGCCTCAGTGGAAGCCTAACTGGACCGGACAAGGGGAACGCGAACACTTGCGACTGTGGCTCCGGGAACATGTTCACAGGCCTGTACAGTAAAAACGAAATATGTTTTTTATTTAATTTCCAATTACAACATATAACAGACATAACATGAATGGTAGACAATACTATAAAATGTTATGCACAAGACACTAGACTACTATTAAACAGTACATTACATACGCCTCCTGTTCTGTAACTGCATGAATGACAGTAATTTGCTTATTAATCACTGATTAAATAATCAGTAACTGATTATTCAAATAATTACTTTATGGAGATGAATATGAGTCTTCCTATAATTTTATGATTAGTGACTTATATAAACATCGTTAATTCAGCTTATTGTCGACAACAAATGTCTCGTCTATCATTCCATAGATGTATCTGCTTATTTTACATTGAATAATACTTATAAATTAACTGAATACTGAATTTTAATCATAGTACCTATAAAAAAGTAAAGTTATCTCGTACATAAATTGAAAAGAGTAACTGTTGAGATTATCAGCAGCTTTCTCAACAGATAACATTCCGAAACCAGTAATAGAATCATTATAAAATGACGATTTAAGAGAGCTTGTAAAGAAGTTTATTTGAATAACAATTATTTCTATTCTATATATCATTCCCAGACAACAACCTAAGACCTTACAACTATTTTACATCGTCACTTATAGTTAAATATTAACCAATCAAAGTAACACCTGCTTGGTCTCTCTATATAGTATACCAGGTTATCAGCTATTACAAATTATTAAAATGTAAACTATTGCTTTAACAAAAGCTGAAGGCCATAGCTTTTAGTACAAGGTCTTGTCACATTTTAACTGGGTTCTATATAAAATCGTCACTCACACCACCATCACTCACTTGCGCGGATACATAAAATCAAGAGCCGAAGACCTCAATCCAATGTTTCATCTACTTTCATAACTCAGCCCATATATGCATAGTTTTAAATCTCTTGATTTCTCATTCACACACTCGTATCTGTATGAGAATGTGAACATAGTCTATGTACTTAACCACTATAAGTCGATCTAAAACACTCTCAGTACCTACATTCTTTGGCTTCCTAGATTTTGAAGAAAAATAACAGTGTTTTTGTTCTACTTATAATAATTCTTATATGTGACATAACACGCATTATTGTTTTTGAGGGTCGCTGTGAAGATAGGAAAACAAGCAGTAGAGAATGAAATATAGGGTCAGTAAAATAGAAGGTGACAGATTTAAGAAAAAATATAAAAAAATTTAAGGACTTGTTTTTGATATTTGTAGCACGTAGATGTAAGGTGTATATATAATAGATAGAAAAAAAACATATAAATTAATAAAAAGTAATAGATATATATGGAAGACCACGTTGTGAACACCCACTTTATTACCTAATTAATCAGATTCATAATTTTCAAGGTTTTTACTTCACTATTTAGTGGATAGAATAAATTATTGCTATAACCATGACGAACTTTGTATACATATTTATACCGTTCTATATTAATAATAATGACTCACTAAAACTACTTTTAACTAACGAAACTTGTTCAAACTTGATTTGCTATTTAAGTAAACTAGCGGAATCGAGATGACCAAAATTTGTTTTGAATCTCGGGCTTTTATAATTTAATAAATGATAATTTTTATAATGTACATCAATTTACGTTATTATTTTCCCAGTATCCTAAAATCGGTTAAGAGTATGTCAAGTTATTATCAGTATAAGGTTACCTAACTAGGAATACAGATACTGAATTCAATAGTCATGCAAAAAAGTTTTGTAGCTTTCCATAAAAATTATTTCACTTCATAAATAATATTTAATCAGTAGGTTTAGTTGTATGTATATATCGTATATTAGTAGAGACTTTAATAAGTTGTATGCTGTTTAAAATTTTACTCTATATCCAAATAGAAGCAGATGTGCTCGTAGATTTTTCGAAACTAAATTCAAAATAAGGCCATAACTGATCCTTTTTAAGATTTACCTATATTTAAAAAACATTCTTAGCATTACATTTTTAATTTTCTGAATATGCATGAAAATAAAAAAAAAAATTATCGAGAAATAACATGAACTGTAAGTATATCAAATTTCTGTATCAAGAAATTTATCTAACCGTCTGAGTGTGATTAACCTAACTCGATTAAAACTAGTGTCAGTATTCATTAACAGGGTCTCAATTTTTTTTTTTTAATAAATTTTTATATTACAAAAAACTAAAAAAATATTTAAAAGTCTTGAATAAAGTAAAACGTGTATTTCTACCAACGGCACTACACAATACCATATGTACATACCTATTATATATACCCACATTATTATTATAAATGTATATATTTGTTTGTTACGTTATAGCACATAAACGGCTTAACCAATCACTGTGGAATTTGGTATACACGTAATATACGGGACGGATAAGGATATAGATTTTTATTCCGGTCAATAAACATTTGCCGGTCACGCGAACGAAGTTATGAGTAAAAGCTAGTTTGTAATAAATATAATTTAAAAATAATAATATTATAACTCAAAACGCATCGTTATGAACTTTTTATACAACTTAGAATGGCAAACAAGCTGCCGGCTTACCTAATGGAAAGTGGTAACCGTCGCCTATAGACATGAGCAGTACCATGGACATAATAGAGTATATTGTTTCGTCCATGATACCCCCCATACGTTGCCATTCCTGAGGACTCAGGTATTATTATTCTGTACCCTGTAAATTCACGCCATATCTCATCCTTCAAACCGAAACACAGCCATGCAAACACAACTGCTTCACGGTTGAAACACGAATGGGGCAGAGCTACCCAAGCAATCGACTTTTGTACAAAGTCTCCCTCTGGGAAGTAAACTATTTGTAACGAACTAAACAACCCATTTTCTCATAAGTGTATGTGTAGTTATAAAATGTTATAATAATTATTATACTACCTATAGTTTTGATAACATTAGCAACTTCATAAAACTTATCGAATTTCCGTAGTTATGTTCACAATTTGAACAAAAATTAATCACTTGATAACTTACAAACAGGCACCATCAAATTACTTCTACGTTATTATTGTATAGAAACAAATATCTACTAAAGTCTTTACCGGAATTGTAATAATAAAATCAAATGTTCCTTTCAAAACCACAAACTTGTAGAAAAGTACCTATTTTTTTTTTGTTTTATGAAAGAATAGGACGATATACAAAAGTCCATTATACTTTTTCTATTATTTTATTTTACTTTTAATAGGTCAATTGTTATTTATTTTCGTATTAGAATGTTTTTAATAAAGCTTAATAACGAATAGGATTAAGCGGATAACGGCTGTACGTCCACTATGCTAATAAGCAAAAGTCAACACAAAATTTGCATTCAAGAATTCAGGCTGAGATTGGAATGCAACACCTCGTGGTATCCAAAATTTTAAGGCTAAATGATTAGTAATTTGGATTTTTTTTTCTATAAAATATTTACCAAATCCCTAATTTTATCTTTTATACTCGTATAACAAGCTTTAAGTTTTACCATGCCTTTTGATTAAATCCGTACACCGCCATTAGGACGGAATGACACCTAACCTACCTAAATTCCAAGGACGCTCAGAGACACCGAGTAAAATGAAAAAATACCACAACAACGAAATGAGAAAACCTCTATTTAAGCAAACGGAAGCGAAAATTAAATAACTCTAATCAGAATAGTGTATCAGTTTTGATTAATAAGTATTAATAAAAATAAATTCAAGTTAATATAAGATTGTGTTGCACAAAATAAAACCAACTTCAATTATGGCAACATGAGTTATTTTGATTTAAAACGTAAACTGAACCGATTTTAAAACAAATTCTGTGAGACTAATATATATCTATTTAGACAAAACAAATCCAAAACGGTTTTTAATTGACGAAGTTATGAGGTAACTTAAAAAAGATAAACCGAATTGAAAATCTTCATCTCAATTGTTTTTAAAACAAACCACTTTTATAAATAGTATATAGATTTCTCAATTAATAGGTATCAGTCAATTATTTACAACTTCATTATTTTTATTTCTTAAATAATAAAACATTGTACTCTGATGTTACCCACAAATAAGTTAGCGAATGCCTCGTTATACAAAATCCCCATCCATCATAACAATAAAAAAAATATATTATATCACTACTAGATAAACTCCATGTCAATAGTTAAAGGCAATATGCATACATTTATAATTTAATACAGCCTAGATTACACATCTGGCATAATAGTGTGATCAGCCAAACATAAGATACTACGACTGTCTGTAAAAGAATCGAGAGATCAATTTCACTGCAACTTCCTCTTTCACTCTCCTCTCAATCTTCATCTTGAGATTGAGATCTTGAGATGTTGAAATCTTCATCGAAGTTTACATTTCTCTCAATGTAGCCATTGCACTTCATTTGATTCCTAACTATACCTACTACTGAATAAAATAATGACATTCGTTTCTTCAAGCATTTTGTGGATCAGGCCAATAAATTAAGCCACTGGATATTTCTTGTAATATAAGAAAAAAGCAGTTGCATTATAATCAAAGTCAATTCTTAAACACGAATTTAATATGCATACTCTACATTTTAAATAATAACTTTTTTAAAAGATTCTCATTTCAATTGTATTCGTTACAAAATTACGTCACCTATTCTAAACCGATTTTGAAAATTATTTTATATAATCGATAACATTTACTCCAGTAATGGACCCGTGTTAATTTTATAATTAAAATTAAAACTTCCGCTTGTCTTTACGGAAAAAACTGCTTGTTGCTAAACAAAGTCTACTTGTAAACACACGTAAGTATGTATTCAATTCCGTGTGTTTATAAAATATCTTGACGTTAATTAGAATATTTTGTTATGGATGAATTTACTGTTTACAAATCAAAATATCCTTGTCTGATTAATATAAACTACATTTGACACGGAAACTAAAAATAATGGCTACCTTCAGTTAAAGCCGCGGGACACAGTTGACTATATACCTAATACGAGTATAATTGGGAATGAGAGATTGTTAGTAATGCGGACTATTAGTTCCATTGCTAGCAATATACCCCGTCAGATCAACTTCCACGTGGTCTCCCGTGGAAACTATCGTGCTGAATTCCAAGTCTATTTATCACGATGGGCTAACTGACCTGCTCTTTCATTTTTACTTATCATCCCTTACTGGTGCCCTGCCGGTGTATACCGATAGCGCAAACGGAGTTACCATTCCTTTATCATCCATTAAAAAAATAATACAAGTCTAATACACCCACATTAGGCACCTAAAAATAAACAATACTCGTATTACGTTCAATTACAAAATTATTAAATGGTTATATTATATTATATATTATGCAAAATATATCTACAATGAGAAATATTTAAATATTAAAATAACAGTTCGTAGACAGATACTGCGTAGGTGTCCATATGAACATAAACATTTAAAAGGTTCACCAAACCTAACGTACTAGATCCAATAAATTCCAACAATGCTAGAAGATTCTTAAATATGAGAACTAGATGTAGATAAACTAATCATATAAAGAGAAAATGTTATGTAATAGATAAACTTAAAAAATACTTAACCCATTTTAAAAACTCTTTAATATATACAATATAAAAGTTATCAGCGAACATATTTTATTCCCAAAAAATCGCTAGTAATTAATAAACATATCATACGAGAACAAATAGAAGTGAGTAAGGTTAAAGAAGAACAGATGGAAGTGGATAAGGTTCAAGAAGAACAGGTAGAACCGGATATGATTAAACGAGACCATATAGAAGTGGGTAAGTGGCGCAAAAATGAATTAATTGTAACATACATAAAATAGTTATAAAGCTTATGTTATATTAGTGTTTAGTTCTCTTAGTCGATTCTTCTGACATCTTCAGTATGAACGAGTGTTAACTCGTTGTATACTTGCTTCTTCTTCGCCCAGAACTTTTTTGAACAATGAATAAACTTACTTTGGCTCGTCTCCTCCGTGACAAATAATTGCGATACGTTCAGCCTGCGCGCTGCGTGGTGCAAAAGCTCCAAGAATATTGAAGGGGAATCGCTTCTCCATGGGATCCTCACGACGGCGTTCTACCACGCAGTTCATGCGACCTCTAGAATAGAAATAAAACAGAATATAATATTTCTAACATATTCGTTTTCGGACTTTCAAAGATTATTTATTTATACTTTATTGTAGTTATTATATATACATAAATACATAAAAATATGATAGAGGTAAGTAAATATACAAAGACGGGTTTAAATCTTCTCACTACATAACAGTTCTCTTCCAACAAATCCAAAGTGGAAAAGAGCATCAATGTCATCCTAGTTTATTATAGATTACAGGGTATAGAGGCATAACACCTTAGTTCTGTAATGGCTTAGTAGTAACAGAAATTCACGAAAGGTATCATGGGCGACACAGTATAATCTGTTATGTCTATGGTACTTTTCAAGTCTATAAGCAACGGTTATCACTTACCATCAGGCGAACCATCAGTTTATTTGCCATTCTAAGTTGCATAAAAAAATGTATCCTATTTAAACAATACAAAAAATATAAATTTAAATAGTATTAAAGAGACCCATCTCTTTAATTTTTATTGCCTAATTTTTGCATTATGGGAATTCCATAAAAATTTTAGAATAAAGAGTACCTAATACCTGTTTTAAATAGACCTGTGAACGATACAGCCACTAGAAGTGCTAAGCCAAAAAATATTATTTGAAGTTCAATAACACGACATAATAACAAAGTTTTTTTTTTTTTAATTAGCACTTCCCATATACATATGTACATAAACATTTTTACACATATTTCGTATTTAAAAATATATAAAAAATATATATATACATATTAGCAATGCGTGAAGGGAATAATTAGGTGATGAAAAAATTTTCCATCAAGTGTAGTCAGCTTTTTTATACTGGCCTCAACAGTACTGTACCTTGTCATGGATATATTATTATAGATATAGTAATAACTACCTATACCTTCAATCTTCATATACAAAAATCATTTTAACTAATATTTATTAGTAGATTAAATAACTGAATAACTGAAATCGTACAAATTAAAAAGAGTTATACAACCCAAATCAAATTTTAATTTGATAATTCCTTCAGAGATATTACTCATAAATCTAATTAATTATAATTTGATGTCTATTTTATTTAAACAGTAATTTATTTCTAAATGCTATATATATATATAACAGTACAACATGTACATTTATATACTGCATACCTACTATAGTCTCTTCTAATTAAAACTTTAGGATAGATAAATTAAATTCTTATTCAAATAAATAATGCTCAACATTATATTCATATTTTGCTGCAAGTAATCTCAAATAAGGGTTTTAAAAGTAGATTAAATACACCGTCACACTCCGCCGTTGTCACGTATGGTCTACAAAACTGGTTCCAGATACCTACCGTTAGTTCATTCACCGTAACGATAGTTGTCTGATTAATTAAATGCCTATACAGTACACAGAATAAAATTTTAAAAGTTTTGAAGAAAATATAAATCCTGTTATGGAACTAAGAATACAATTTATAGTTAGGCTTAAACTTGTAAAACAATCCATACAACTATCTTATTCACAACTATTACAAATCTTAATTTAAAACGCGTAAAATTTTCCCATCGATAAACCATATCCTGAATTTAAATAATAGGATAAGTAGTTTACACGTTTCTAGAGTACTTAAAAAGGCAACATCCGTTTCGATGGCATAATTAAGTACAATATACATATGTTCATTTATTCAAAGTCACACTAGCAGTCTCTAATAGGTAAATATCATAAAGTGTAATACTTTTATAGTGAATTTGTAACAAAAGACGCACGTATTTTATAAAATTTCGTGCATATAACATATACAAAATTAATTAACAACACCATAGGTGATAAAGGAGTAGTAGATATTTTATTAGGTATTTCTAAAAAGAACTAAATTCTAAATCAAACTTGGCACTAACTTTTGATTATTATTAGCGAGGAAAGCACCAGCTAGCTCATCTAGGTCGAACTGAATGGGCAGCTTGAGCATAGGTCTGACAGCGGAATCGAATTCGTCGTCCTCCTCCGCAGAGCTATCGGACTCCGCAGAACTCTCGTCGCTGCCGGAGTTCGGAGACTCGCTCTTTGTATTGTCATCGTCGATTTTCTGAAATTACAAATTGACAGAATAAATATTACATAAGAAAACGTAGAACAACCTACAACTACCTACTTATTTTTATTTGACATTATTGTTGTACCAAATTCATAAACCTAAATATAAACATATATGTATAAACCTTTGATAAAGAGAAACCGGTCAGGTATTTAGGTATTGAAACAAATTATGAGAGTCGATACAAGAGATTTTACTTATAATAATATGTATATGTTGGGGGAAAGGGATTGTTAGTAATGGAGACTAATATCATCTTTCACTGGTACCTCGTCAGTGTATACCGATAGCGCGGACGAGGTTACCATTCCATTTTCATCCATTAAAAAAAAATGCATATGTTCAAAATTTCACCAAATCACTAGTTTTCCTTTTCTTAGTTTTTCAACAACTCTATGTAAAGTCTGCTTTAGAAATGTGTACACCTATTTAGAACATTAAAAATATAAACGGAACTTTCCCCAAGAGACATCCGTCCATGACGCAATTGAGTCAAATTTAAGACTATTATGTATTTTAACTCAAAAGTGCCCGTTTTTGCAAATTGGTGTGTAATAAAAAAAAATTTAATGCACGAAATTCTCATATATTATATATACAATTTATTCTAAGACATTCTTTACACTTCTAACATAAGAAAAGTCGGCCACCTAAGATTTATATAATTCCATTATGTCAACAGGATCTCCCAAGTTTAGGCAACAAACGGCTACTGCATAAATAACAACACGCGACCCATAACATGCCCCAGGGCTCCAATAATCGTTGCTACGGCCCGGGAATTAATCCCCTGCGGTACAAGGCCGAGCGCTATTATTGGTTTTAATTCTATGTGGGTACAGACAAGTCTATTTATTTTCGCAAGAACCATTATTTACAATAAAAAAATATTGCTAACAGTATTTATTTATATATAGTTGTTAAATAATATTATAGCTAGGTAAATTATTCCAATTATATAATTAAACCCCCGATTTTGTCCGCATGGCCGAGATATGACAATCAATTAGTTCAATTAATCAATTAATCATGACAAAACATAGCCTATGTCATTCTGCAATTCAAATAATATATATTTTGGTTGATATCAGATTGATTAAACAGTTAAGGTGCTAAAAAGAAATAAAAAAACGAACAAACACATTTGTATGTAAAGACGTATTAATTTCCAAATCTCCCTTTATTGTTATTTTAGATCATTGTTTATCACAGAATTATACAAGTACAAAAGTAACCATAAATTTATGATTACATCTACGTAAAAACCTGCATCAATCGTGAAACAATTAATAAATAAATATAGTAGTAATATTCCATAATAAAAAAATACATAAAAAAATATTGTCGAACGTCATTTTTGAAACCTGTTGAAAAAATACTCCTGAAGTTGAATAAGGCAACCCGATTGCTAATACTTCAACTGACAATTTATCGATTAACATTTCACAATTTCAGTGATTAAAAATATATTATCCACAACCACAAAATCGTCAATCTCAATCAGTTTCAAACCAGAATAGCAACTGAGTTACATAAATCCAGTTACTGATGGTTAGCTGAGCTAGATTATACAGTAAAATAATCTATAAATTAAATAAATTTCAGTCTCATTTTATAATACAAGTAGGTAGGTAATAGATATCCCTTCCTTATTTTCCTTAGTTTATTTAAGAATATTATGAGAGTTATTACAATTCGAAATCCTGTAATAATACTAATAAAACTGAACAACTTTCTCGTATTTTCATTTGTAGCCGTAAAATAATAACCTAATGGAATTCCAAATATAATGATGAATTTTAAGAAAGATACAAAACTAAGTTGGTTGAGTTAATATGGATTTTTTTTTTATTTATTTTTAGAATCGACTTTGTATTTATTTTTAGAGAGACGAGAAAATAACTGCAATAGGATTACAAGCAATAAGTCTCCCTTATCATTCAACTAATAAGATATTTTAGTAAGAGTACGGGAAAAACAGCTGGACTAATTAATTTATTTTGTTATCTGTGATTATTCTTGAACAATCCCTTTTTCACGCAGATTAAGTTTCGAATTACACAGGGTCTCTCTACTCAAACACCTATAATCCAATTATGGTGCATGCTTTTATAATAAATCTATGTATAGAAAGCACTACAAACGAAGCGTTATGCAAGGACTTTCTAGTGCGTCTCGAGTTCGTTAGGTGCAATTGCACCTGCTGCGGTAGAATTATGGCCTCGACCCCGGATCGACAGGAGCTAGTGGCATGTTATTATATACAGTACTAATTATAAAGTCTTATTTAAAAATATAATAAACTCATTATTATTGACTACAAGCTGTATTCCGGGGCTTTGCCCGCGTGAATCAGTATATAGGATACATATATAGGATATTTTATAATAGTACTAGGCAATACCATGGGTAGCTAGTAGGTACTGTTACTAGGTAATGGGTTAAAAGTTATATAGTATGAAGGGTATACATTTCTGACCAACTTTGTATACCTACCTAAAAGTAAACCTTTTTTATAACGATACATTATTCTAGAATTATTATCTAAGGCTAGCATACATTTGATAACAAATCTATCTTTTTCTATAACATGTGAATACTGTATTATCTTTCATCAGATTAAGTAGGTAGACAGATGTTAGACAGATAATTCGCGTCACTTTCTCATACCTGTTTTCTCAGCAAATCTTAGCTACACAAACGAGCTTGTTAGTGAAACTGCAAATAGGTTGTAAATAAAACTCCAAAAAAAGCATCTATCTCGATTACCTACCGGTTACATGAAAGAGCTGATCAAAATACGTTATTAACCATACTTATTTATTCAATTTATTCCAGAACTATCTCTAATTCAGAATGTAATAGTGTCATAGTACGACGATAACATACGATACATACATACATATCTGTCACGCCTATCTCCGATTAGGGTAGGCAGAAACATACGATATAATATAATAATATCCTTCAACTACAAATTGTCCCACTCGCGTATATACCGGAACTTAAAGTAAACGTCGAGATCAGTCATTTCAGTTTAAAACCTCGAATCCTCCACAATACTTTGTTCAACAAAAATACCGACCTGAATCATGCCAAAATTAATATCAAACCAATACTATAACCATTGTCCGTGTAGTCGCGGCATAAAGTAGGCTAACCCTTCCCTCTCTCTTAAGAAATATCTAAAACCTAAATGCAGTTGCTAACCCGTCTGCCAAGCGTGGCAACTACTGGAAGCACTCCCCCTTATAAAGAAGATTTATAATAGCTGAAATGACAACATTATAATCTTATCGAATACATAAAAATTGGTCTAAAATTAGCAAAGGTACTACATATCATGCACATATTACAAATATTTTTACGTGACTAATACTAATACTTTTTCGCGACTTTAGTAAAAAATTTACATCTCATAGTATTTAGCACTAGTAAACCGTTAAAACAAGAATATTTTATCTCGTTCTGTGCTGTTTGCCAGGCACAATTGGCTCGGATATCCTGCGCGAGACAATGCGCCCGCGCACCATTGTTCCACCGCCCTCCATTTGTAAATAAATATGTCTAGTATTTGGATTGCTCGGCGTATTATCGACCTACAACTATTATAATATCGCACTTTTTTCTGTGTAACATTTACTTACAAAAAAACCTATTAGATAATTATTTGTTTTTTAATCTTCTTCATAAAAATAATACTATTGTTTTTTTTAAAAAAATCTTAGCCGCTTTATACTCTGAATATTTTTTTTATTAAATATATTTTATTTTCAAGTCAAAATGTAAGTTTTTTGTAAGAAATAAATTTATGTTATGTAACACCCAAGTATAAAGTATTTCTGTCTACATATATAAATAGTAATTACAACGTCTATACATGCTGTTATTTTATATTATCCATAATAAATCGATTTTATTGCAGTAGATAATTGATGCCTAGGTATAATAAAAAATAATAACTACTGCCCGCTTTCACGCACAGAGTGCAACAAACAATCATGCCTGTCGCCGGGTCGCAGTAACAACGCTGCGACAACGGTGGTGGTAGCGGCGCCGGCGCAGCATATAGTTGGGCCGTTAGTGAAAGCTGTGACGTCACCACTTACACCAACACGCTTGATCAGACACACATACATAACATTAAGAGGATTATGCAACCAATATTTATGCATACAATATAAATATCACATGAACATATTATATATGGGCCTACATTACGTAGGTAACATAGGCCTACAAAAAGCCCTAAAATCACAAAATGGACGACACCTTCTGTCAAGGTATAACAGTCTATGATTTTTTAAGACATCTATTGAGATGAAATTCGTTTAAGGTTTCTTAAGTTAGCCAAATGAAGCAATAATGTACTTCATGTTGTGGTCATCACGAAAAAACGATAATGTTTAGCCGAAATTAAATAAGTACAGGTGTTTGTTCTAAATTATTAAATCCGCTTAAAATCAAAACCGACCTCGACTCTTAATGACAATAGCTAATTAATTACCTGTAATTTATCTTCGTCAATCTTGGACTCGGCGTGATTAAGTGCGTCGTCTTTGACCTGATTGTCAACGGACACAGGTTGGCTGGATGAAGTGACGGCTGGCGCAGCTGACGGTGGAGGTACACCGTGAAGTGCATGTGCATTGCCTACTGGTAATGGTTCATCCTGAAACAAACACCGAAATATAAATATCCAATTTGTATAGAGTCTGTGTAAGATGACAATTACATTATATGACTTTACTGACCCTATTACGTATACTTAAATAACTACAAATAGTCTTAAATGGCTATTATATAATAATAATATTTTTTTACAACACAGGGGACAAACGAGTATGCGGCTCACCTGATGGTAAGTGACTACCGCCGCCCATGATCACCCACAACACCAACGGCATTGCAGGTGTGCTGCCGGCCTTTTAAAAAGGAATATGCTCTTTTCTTGAAGGTTATGATGTCGTATCGTGCTATAATTGTGCTATATAAAAGCCATTTAAATATGTAGATAATGTACTAAATGGGTAACATCCTTTTACTTCGATAAAACTTGCGGACTATTTACATGTATATTTCATTCTTTTATCTATGACCGAATAGTCTACTGAGTATTGATCACTTAATCCTAACATTAATTAGTTGATTGAACTTGATTTGAGTAATTTACCTATTAAAACTCTATAAAACGATTTTTATAAATGAACTAAAAACTTATCGATTCTGGAAACTTAAATTATATCATAAAATATTACCTATTCATAGTTTAAATGTAAACCGAATGAAATTATACCTTATACATATTTTTTGTTATTCTAAACCGTAAATGAAATTAAAATAGGTAATTAAATATACTTTTACACCGAAAAATATTTCTTATTTCACATAAAAACAAACCCATGTCTATAATTAACTTCATGAGATATCTACATAAGACCTTCGAATAAGTTAAACACAATATACCTACATAGACAAAGAGTAAATTAACATCATTGTTATTGACACCAAGAATAATAACTTTTTTTTATTGAGTTCTAGTCATAATTTGCATACAGAAGTAGATAGGTAATTATGTAAATAAACCGGTAAATTATTGCAGATAAGCGTCAAAAATAACATTTTAGATGTGCACAATAATTAGACACAGGTCAACTCAAATAATAATAGCAAAATTATAATTTTCCGCGTTACCACTTTTTATAGATTTCTATTCAAAACCACCGTAAAATCTTTACAAAAGTCAGTTATTTATTTGTACGGTAACATTACGAAGCAAAAACATTGCCAACATCGCCGCTCACTTTTAGAGCAAAAACCATCAAAGTGCTCATCGTAAAATGGCGGATGCCTTTGCATGTAGCCAGTCTCTTACGTAACTTATGTGGCTAGTACCTACGTAGATTATATACATGTTCCTATGCAGACATTGAGGTTTGTCATTGTTCATGTCAATTGCCGCGTTCTCACTGGATAATCACTACAGTTGGCGAGTGACACAGTCATGCAAAGTGTTTATAAAAACATTCTAGCAAAAGTGCAAGGTTACCGGAGGCACCGCGATAGCGAGGCTGCAGTGTTTATATTTACTTATTTATAGTACAATCAAAAGAAATAAATTGCATTTTACAATCTTTTTAATTGGAACCCCAATATATAAAAAAATGTATATAATTTTAGAATGTAAATTATTAATTAATACGTAACGACAAACACTTCAATTGTCTACATAATTTTCAAAGTTGTATAAATAATATTTAATATAACATACATATAATTTAAAAGAGAGACTGTCAAAGGTTATTTGAACTAGAAATATGATTTTTTTTTTCTAGGATTTATGATTGGTATTCCATAAATTAGCAAGAAAAGGCAACAAATTTCGGATGAGTGAAGTCACGAGAAGCAACAATTATAAGTCATATCTATGTCAGACTATGTTTTATCATAAAGTTAAACATCTTGAAGGATTATGTTTTCTTCACATACCTAAATAATTTAGATCTTAATGGAATCATGATAATATGGGGTGCCGGTAAGCAGCCGAGCGCGAAGTGTTCGCGACCGCAACTGATAGAAAACGGTGATTACGTCGTCGGTACTATTGTCGCATTGTACGCCGCCCACAACACTTTTACTGGATTTACGAAACATTCTAAACGTTTAACTGTTGTTGTTGCTGAACTGAAGGTTGCAAGATAACAAGGAAATTGCACCTCCTAAAACACGAATAGGGGCAATCATCTATGCGCAGGCCATTGTCGTTGAAAAAACATAGACAGGGCATACTAAAGTAAATAACATTCTGTCACATTCGTAGTTGTTCATTCTGACAAACGCGTGTGCTTGCAAAACTGTAATCTGAAATCCGATTGAAAGTGTGGCAATACAGTCAAGGAGTAAAACACCTTGCTACTCAACATCAGAAACGCTGTTTAAGATTTTATTCCATACAAAAAACTTCAATTATATCAATATTAAAATGAAATCAACATAAAACTTATTAAAAAAAATCATAATTTGATTTAGAATTATGGAAAATAAAAAATACTTTTGAATTGTTAAACGCGAATATTTTTAGATAAAATTATAATATTTTTTTTAAATTCTGTGTTGTCAATATTATTACTCCATTGAAATTAATTTAGGTTCTAGTAAAGTTTTCAACACCTATACCTAATGGTATTTATAGAAAAAAAAGACCTACGATACGTCACTGAATTTTTCTATATATTGTTCCAGTATATATTAATGTCCAGAAGTAAAAGCGTTAACACATTGTACGCAACTAGCCAACTTAACTATCAAGTCAGTCCAAGTAGTATTCATAGAGATAAAAACTCATATAAACCGTATGAGTGATGAAGACGAAGTGGAAAAATATGTGCTGGAATGAAAATAAGTAACGTTCCATTCTCTGGGAATACTTTTCGAGGAATATTACGAAGACTTGCCAACCGATGTGAATTATTCTGAAAAACCTTTCTGAATTTACCCACCCTCTTTTATTCTTTTGTGAAATATTACGTGAACACTTTACTTTTTACTTTACACAAAGCTTTTATTTACACAAGTATTTTATGTGTGTATTCCCATTATATGGTGTTCGATCTTTTCTTTTCAATATATCTTTTTCAACATTTTAGAGATTAAATTGCAAAGGTTACATACAATTATTATATATATTATTTATATATTATATATAAATTATGAATGATATAACAGTATGTACAAAAAACATTGGTAACACAATGAATATCTCATCTTAAAAGATCTCAGTAGTCATGCATTTAAATCTAAGTAAATACATAAATCTATGTGACAAGTGTTTCCTTTCTTTTTATAATAAATGTCGTTAACTAACTTGAATTTAAATTGATTTGAATATTCTGAGCGTAATGTAAGCAAGTAAAATATAACAACGTAACATTATTGTGGCAACAACAGACGAGGTGCCTTTGTGTAGCCCATTTGTGATGAGGTCTTAAGTAAGCATAACTTAAGTAAATCACTTGAACTATAATTATTATTAAATAACATGATAGTTAAACTATCACATGGCAAGAGATAAAAAGACACATTTTTATAAGCATCTATTCCAAATATTCGCAAAATTCTAAATTAAATTAAACTTATAATTCAGAAGTAATAAGATTTCTTAAGAAGCAGCAAAGCATACGTGACACTCCTAGCATTGAAGACGTCTTTAGTTTGTTTGCTACCATAAGGTATCAAAACAAAACCATAAATTGATATGTATGTATGATTGTATTGTTTTTCATTCGATGAAAGAAGTTAATGTTATTTAAGTATAGATACAAAAATGCTATAACTTCGATGGCGAAAAATAAAATTCGATGTTTGGAAAAACCCATTTGTCATTAGGTACAGTATATTTTTATTTGTGGTCGTTATAACACCCATGTAGCTACGTATTACAGTATTAAACATATTCCGTACTTTGAACACAACATCACGTAACGTTTACATTATACGAAACTGGTAATTTCTACGCATTGGTTACCTTACATGCTTTCCAGATTTCCATAATATACTACATAATTTTGCTATAAAATTCGTGCAACCGAATCCGTATGTCATGCGCTTATCATTATTACATTATTAGATACATATAAGCATAGTTATTATGTGGGATATGGCAGTAAAATTACATGGTTCGGAGGCATAATATCGTCCTCAGGAATGGCCAATCATGAGGCGTCACGGTATATTCTGTGAAGATGTAACTTTTCTACCGTTTCAAGTTGCATAAAAAATAATTATAAAACTTATAATTTTTATACGTGTGGTAATAATGTGGGCAATATATATATATATATATATATATATATATATATATATATATATATATATATATATATATATATATATATATATATATATATATATATATATATAAAATACTATAAAGTAATTTAAAAAAAACTGAGAATAAATTGGACATAGATTTTTCAATTATTTTCGCCTATTTTTTACTCGCGTCTTTGTCAGCGTGACCGAGATATTTTGACTAAGATAAAAAATAACCTAAAATACAATAAAAAAAACCAACTCACCTTAAAATTATTATAATATTAGCAAAGATTCTTAGCGACTTATTACTCGGAAAAGATCCACTTTACTATTTACCCCAAAGTAGGTGGAAAAGTAGTTGTTATTGTTGTTTACAACTCGAAAAGAAAATAAATCAAAATCAACAAGAATAATGCGGAACAATGTTATAAGGGAATACATTATTAACAACGACAACATTGCGTGATTTTTTTAATTTCTGAATTCCATAAAAAGAATGTGGCTTATTTAGGTTATTATACGGTCTCTGCGCGCTTATCCTTATCATTTGAAAAAAAAACGCTTAAAAATAAAAGTCAAAACGTTTTTTTATTTCAAATTTATGTGTATATGCAATCATTCAGATATTATAATTATGGCCTATCTATGTACTAAATTCCAATGAAAACCATTCAACTATATATTTTTTTAATTACTTAATAAATATCCAAACATCTTTACTAACTTTTCATCATCATTTTTATGTATAACTACTTCAAAAATTAGACTCTATGATAAAATTGAACTAAGGAGTAAATACAAAGCAAGTCGATATAAAAGACGAAGTCGTTTTGGTTCCTAATGTGTTTTCAGGTGTTT